GAGTCAGTGCTTATTTGCCTACTAACCAAGAGTCATACTTGACTTGTGTGTTGGAGCTTGAAGTTTTGTTAATTTACTGTAAAAGTTCGTTAATAACTTCAGTTACTGTTAAAGAATTCAATTAATTAAAAATAAATAAAAATTTTGTTGTTATAATTTACTGGTGTTCGAAAAATTTCTATCAAATACAATAGTTACTATTAAGTAAAGTAGTTACTACCTCTGAACTGACATTAAAATCAATTTTAATATAGGTATTCATATAATTATATAAACATTTATTGTATACAAATATTGTAAATAATTATTTTTATTATTTCTATCTCATTATGTTTATATACATACTGTACACGTTTTAATTGAGTATATAATAAGCTAAAAAAAATGAAATACAATAACTATTTATCAAGATTAAAATTGGGCAGAATTATTTTTATATAATTATATTATCGAAACCTTGAAAACGATTAGTTATATTTAAACATTAAAAAAAGTCGCATCGCCTTTATAACGGTTGATAACAAAAATGTCATTATTTCTGACATTAATCCTTATTCTATTACTAGGAGCTCTTGAAACAGAGGTATATGATGAAACATAAAACTTCTTAAAATTAATAATTACAAAATTCATATTTTAAGGCAAATGAAAGTTATTTAAAATTCACAAACTTGCAATGCATATCATTGGATAAGACACTAGTGAAGGTGGATAAATGCAAAATTAGAGCTATTTCAAGATACATCAATGAAATGAGTTGGAGCTTTAAACCTTTAGAGCCTTTTAACGAAATAAATGTATAAGCGATATTATACTTGTTTTAATGAAATATTTTTATAAAAACTTTTTTCTTATAATTTTAAAGGTTCATGTGCAATCAATGAAGAAAGGTAATGGGTACAGACCATGGCTGTACAATATAACAATGGACTTGTGTAGTTATGTTAGGCTGCTAAATAATCCTGTTGTTAATTTTGTTTATAGGTATGTCAAGCAATATACTAACTTCAATCATACCTGTCCATATACTGTAAGTACATAATGAATGTAAAATGTTAGTATTGTTTTAATTATAGTAGGTATATGTTAAATATTCCTCCAGCACAACGTTTCAATTGAAGGTTTACAGACAAATTTTACTAAAATGGCAATACCAATTCCAGCAGGAGATTATTTACTCGATGGTTATGCTGATATAAATGGCAGACCTGCCTTGCATTTAAAGGTATACTTTTTTTACAAATACAAACTCGCCAGCAATGACTAGGTTCAATGGATGAGAGAATTTATTTCTTTATATTACAATATTTAATTTTATATAAAGTTTATATCCAATATACATTTTACACAAACTGCAAACAAAGTGAGTAGATCTCAACGTAACAGAAAATGGTTGACGGTTGAGGATAATTATATAGTTGTCAAGATAACTGAAATAGATCATGTTCACTTATTTCTATATATACATATATGCAGGTGTCAGTACTATGTCACTGAATATATTATACACAAACGACTAAATATAGAAAAAAAATTGGTTGACAACTTTTAATATTTACTGATAGTTATATTTTCCGAAATTGTTTTATTGTAAAATAAAATAAAACTAATTTTCTTCATCCAGAAATAAGTTAAAAAATTTTGAAAAGATTTTTTAAGCAAATCACTGTATTTAAAATGGTTATAAATTAATTTTTTCTTACATAGTAAGATATAGTAAATACTTATTATAAAATTAAAAATTATATATGTGTTAAATATGTAATAGAGACTCTTTGAAAAGGAAATTGAAATACTGAAAAGTAATACTTTCAATTAAATAAGTATGTACTTCATCACACAGTCCGACAGATTATCCAAAAGAATAAAGAGTTCAGCAAACAATCTACCGAAAAAATCCTGTTACAGTCCAGCAAGCCAGCCATTATAAATCGTAATGAAAGATGGTGTTTGCATACAATTCGAAATCAAAACTTTTAAGTGTGACATGAAAGTCATCACGGCAGTCGAAAAAGAGGTTGCTTTTGCTTTTGAAAGAACAAAGTCGAGATAATGTAATTCGGTTTTTTTAGATATAAAGGAAACTGTTTACAGTGGATGCGATCTAAAAGTTAAGTTGGTGAACGTAGAATATTATTTTAAGAATTTTACAATGATTACACCTCAGAGCTCAGTTAGTTTAACTCAGTTAGTTTTTGTTGCACTATAATGCTCAACAGGTAAAAACTATCTTACTACCAAACTAAAAAAAATTGTGGAAAGCTATCGTTTCGATACCATTTCGTTCATCAAAAGGTAATATTCCAGATCAGTGGTTCCCAATCGTATGATTAAAAATGGTACGTGAGTCAAATTTAATAAGTATGGATACACAATTTTTAATTTATCTATTGAGACCAGATTTATGAAGAAAGAAAACTTATTTTATAGCCTATACAATGTACCTATGCTCATATAGCATTTATTTTACATTGTGTCAGAAATGCATAAAATATGTTAAAATAATCATACAATTTATTATTCTTAAACTTTTTGGTTCCTACCAAAAACAAAAATATCATAGTGGTCCTTAGTCAAAAAGAGGTGTTCTGAACCTCTGACCTAGAAAACTGACCTAGAAACTAAAGACAATTCCGAACAATGAGTGTAAATGATGAATAAATAATAGCAAAAAATTAAAATAACAAACGGTTTGTATTTTTGGAGAGAGGTCTTATATATCTGACATAGACTGTTTATATATGTGAAGTTGATATTTTATATGATGAAAAAGCAAATAGTGAGCAAATATTTATATACCTATTTAGTGAAATCATTATTTTTTTAAAAATTCATTACTT